TAATTGGAATTTTCTCTTACAGCTTGAGCCTAAGTGTGTCGCAGGATACCCTCTAGGTGATAGTTCTTGATTACTTTTTGATAACTAATTCGTTCTTATTGCGAAATAGGAGCACTATTTATCAATCTGTAATAAAAGACGTGAGGAAATTCTGTCTTTTTTAAGACAAAAATTTTTGAGGCGAAATACCCAAAAAAAAAGTTTGTAAAAAAATAAACACTGAAGCATACTGTTATTATTTGTCACTATGGAAACATTGCTGTATGTCTTATACTATTTTCAATGGCTAACTTCGATCAACTAAATTGAAAATGTATAAATTGTTCGCAGACACTTTATTTTCGAAAAAATCCTAATGATGTGGTATATCACCGAACTCGTAATAAAATGCAATAAAATTCGGTAAAGAAATAGTCAAGTATGGTTTTCATTAAAAAAAACTCGCGTTTGTGTCATATGTCAAAAATGACAGTTATTTTGGAGAAATGTCTTATGCCGTTTTGTTTAGAATTCAATTTTGTACAGGTTTTCTTTTTAATGTTTTCCTGTCAAATTAATATCAACGGAAGTAGGAGTAATTTAAAAATGTACCATGAATAAGTTTTCCCCAAATATCTCTTGACAGCTGTCAAATTTAAGAAAAATAAAAGTGGTTTCGAGTAGAGCATCAAAACCACAATTCTTTGTCCATTTAACCTTTTTCGTAACTCCTATAGTTTCGAAGATCCCTCCCTGTACTGGTCATCGAAAGACGCTCACGCTGTATACAAGTTTGGCCGCCTTAATTTCTGCTTTCATACTTTGGCGATTACTAATTAATTAGTAATTAAGAATTTAATGATTGAGATCTGAAATATCATCCAAGATTGAAAATTGGCGGTTTTTAATTATTTTTTGCCTGGATTCATTTTAAATCAATCCGATGTTTGGTCTAAATTCGACGATACAGGGTGGCTCTAAAATGCTACCACCTTTAATGCTCTCCTGTTCTCTCTTTTCTTCTCTTCTAATTTGTTCGTGTGCTTTCTTTAGCTAGCAGATGAGTTTTTGTTCTTCCTTTGGTTTGTTGCACATGATTTCCTCCACGCACTGTTTACTCACCCCTCGCATCCGTTCTGGAACAAATTAAGCGTGGGAGAAGATTGGTTTGGAAAAGGGCCACGAGTGGCATTGGATCAGGTCGCTGACAGATCTATTCAAAACACGTGAAAGACGACGAGTCACGTGTCAGGCACGTGCTTGGCCTGTCCCGGTTTCCATCCATTTGGACAGGGAAAGCTTTCGTCACTAAACCCTAATGGACAGTCGATGAATTGCAGCTACACTATTTAACTCGCACTGTCATTACTTGATTGGTTTTGCTTTTAGATCAGTTTCGCGCTAATTCAAGTGCACTGGCAACTAAAAATAATTCAATTTAATGTATTATACAATTTTTATCTGCGTGTTCCCTGAAGCACATGTGCTTCATTCAATTAGGAACAAGCGGGAGTTATCGAGGATAATTCCAGTTATCGGTGCTTAGAAATTGCCGATAATTTTCATGAAAGCTCGTTGTTGTTAATTCGAAAATATCGACGAGCGAGTCGAATCGATAAGCGAGCTGCAGAC